ACCATCTTCCTGGAAACCTGTCTTGTTAGATCAGCATGAAAGTAGAATAGAATAGAATTCATACTTGGCCAAGTGTGATTAGACCCACAAGGAAGTGGTTTCCGGTTGCGTAAATCCTGCCCGCCCGGCTTCTTTGAAACCAACCCACCCCACTGAATTTCCCACAATGCTTAGCACCCATGCAGGATGGGAGGTTTGAAAAAGGATGCTGCGGAGAGTCTTGTGGGCTGGGTGATGGACACAGGGAAAAAAAAAAAACCTTTCCTTCTTGAAGATATCGTGTGTCATTTCCAAACTCCCTTCCTCACCCTCCTGCCGAAAAAAAACCCACAAGCAATAATGGCTTTGGAGGGGCCTGGCTTTGGAGCCAACGACGTTGTCTTTCCACGTCGATCTGTGTTGTACGTATCGGCCAAATGATTTTCATTGTCGTCGTTCGTTTTTTTGTTTTTTTGTTTTTTAAATGGGTGCTATTGCAGCATCAACTCAGGGAACCAGAGGTGGGGAGGGGGCTAAGGAGGGACATGTCTGGAAAAGAGGCATCTGCAGCCTCCCGTCCGTCCTCCCGCCTCCAAGACTCATCTTAATTCTGTTCTGAATGGAAGGCATGACCGATCGCCCGCTCGCAACCTCCCTGGCAGTCTTCCCACGCAAAAAAAATAAATAAAAATAAAATAAGAGTCCCATTTTCCACCTAACCTTCCCGGCTTAGAAAATTCTCCGCCGGAACTTGGAAAAAGCCAGTTGGAATCTTCCCGTCCAATAAAAGAAGATTTTGATTTTGCTGGCCGGATTTTGATTTTGCTGGCCGCAGGGTATCCAAGGGGGTCTTTCAGGGGTTCATTACACCCAACGAGAGGATACTGCTTGCAATTTATCCCAGCTTTTTTTTTTAAATATATATATATACAATTTTGCAGAGGGCCAAACTTGGCATTTTGATGTACTGTCCATGGTCCTGATTTTTATGCATTGGCTGCCCAACTCCCCCTCTTTATTTCCTGCATTCGGAGCGTGTGTATATCTCTCCTTCGGTGTGTCGATTACAAGCTGGAAGTGGGGGGGCTGAAAATATTTGGGGCAGCTGCAGAAGAATTGAAGGGAGGGGGGAAAAAATGTGCCGCTGGCTGACTGTCTAATAAACACGAGCGCTTCCTTCTTTGAGGTTTTCGTGCCGTTTTACCTCTGCTGCAGATCGTTGCCTCGGCTCAGCGTAGCTCCCCTGAAGCCGCTAATAAATCAGGACAGAGAGTTATGGAAGGGTGAAAGAACAGAGGGATGCCCCCATGCCTTGCGCCCTGGCGTACCAACGCACAAGACCGTCCCACCCTGATTGAGATGTACAGGGAGAACTCTCGTGTGCCTCCCCTGCCTGCAGTTTGCGTAGAGATGGGTCTGACATCATCCTAAAAAGCAAGGCAGTAAAAAAATTGGGAGTGTGCACCCCGGAAAGAACCAATTGGAGCTTGCAGTGGCCTTCTGCAAAGAAACACAAAAATTGCAGCTCCTACAGAATGCGGAAGAACAGAGCTGAAAAGGGAATTTGGAGGTCTTCTAGTCCAACCTCACACCGTTTCAGACAAATGGTTATCCAATCTCTTCTTCAAAACCTCCACCCACAACTTCTGGTGGCAAGCTGTTCCACTGGTTAATTGTTCTCACTGTCAGGAAATTTCTCCTTAGTTCTAGTTTGCTTTTTGTCTTGCCTTCTGATGCTTTGCAGATGCCCCCCACCTCTTCTCAAATATTAGAATGCTGTTATGTCATCACTAGGTCTTCTCTACATTAGAAAACAGAATGGAAGGGACCTTGGAGGTCTTCTAGTCCAACCCCCTGCTCGAACAGGAGACCAGTAATGGCTAACCTTTTTGCCATCGCATGCCAAAAACTGGGGGAGTGCGGGGTAGTTGCATGCTTGTATGCCCACACCCATAATTCTATGCGCCCTGCCCCCCTCATGCATGCATGCGCGACCCCCATGTTCCCCCCGCTTTTGGCATGTGATGGCACGGTGGGCCCGGTAGACCCGTTTTTTTGCCCTCCCCAGGCTCCAGAGGCTTTCTAGGCGTCTGGGGAGGGCAAAAACAGCCTTCCCCATCTCCCTGGAAGTCCTCTGGAGGCCGGAAACAGCCCGTTTGCTGACTTCCGTTGGGCCCAGAAGGCCCCAAAATCAGCTGGCCGGCGCGCGCAGGCGTGCTGGAGCTGAGCTAGGGCAACGCTCGCATGCTCACCAATATGGCTCCGGTGGCATGCGTGCCATAGGTTCATCATCATGGCACTATGCCCTTCTGGGCAAAATGGCTGTCTAGTCTCTTCTTCAAAACCTCCAGTGAGGGGAGCACCCCCAGCTTCTGGTGGCGAGCTGTTCCACCGGTTAATTTTTTTCCTTACCGTTCTTTTGGTCGATAGGCTAATTGTTTCGGAGGGGGGGAAAAAAACTAAACTAAACTAAAATCCTCCACCTATTCCCTCTTTATTTCCCAGTGCCGTTGGGCCAAGACGCAAATCGGGAAGGCGGCATTTTGAGTCGTTTTTCCTCGGGAGTTCACAGCCGGCCAAATGGCCTTTTGCTTGAGCCGGATAATGAGGGAGGCCAACAGCTTTTGAAGATCACTTTCAGGGACTCCAAAGGTTAAACGCCTGCTTAGAGGGGCCTATTGAAGGCTGAGGCAGGGGTCTGGCATTGTTTGAACACTCTCCGGCTTTTGTTTGGCGGCTTTTCCGAGGACCGCGGCCAGTGTGTGTGTGTGTGTCGGTGTGTCCTGTTGTATGTATGCACAGTGCGGTCTCCTTTCCTTCCAGGCCAAGGGATCTCCCATGCAGCTGGAAGGGTTTTCTAGCAAGCCAGGGGAGGGTGACAGATGGGGGGGGGGGGGGGGCTGTCTCTAGCTTGCATTCTTTCCCGGTGGCAGTTTAACCCCAGCTCCAAGCAGGCCTCTGCCTCCTGATCTCTGTGTGACACCCCATTACCACATGAATGCGGGGAGAAGAAAGCTTCACTCCCTCTGACCTTTCTCCTCCCCGGCCCCCAGCGGCAGCGGCTATGGGCTGGTTTTCTCTCCCCCCCCCCCCCCCCCCCCCCCCCCCCCCCGCCCCCCCCCTGTTCTGGGCTGCAGAGGGGAGTGCAGATCCGAGGCTGGCAAAGGCAAACAAAGCCCTGAGCCAGGAAGCTCCCCCATTGTCATGGTTGATCCTGCAAGGGCTCTGGGGGCCTCCGCCCCTGCCCCATGGCGCTTGGCGGGCTTGTTGGGGTGAAGGGCCCTGGCAGCTGCGGGCAGAGGCCCCCAAAGGCTTGATTGGAAATTAATTGGGTCTTTTCTGAAGGGGCTGCCTTGTAAACTCCCTGGACTTCTCTTTTCTCACTTCCTGCCCTTTTCCTTCCTTGTTTTTCTTCTGTTCCATTCTCTTTAGTTCCTTTTCCTGCCTCCCTTCCTTCCCTCTCCTTTCCTTCTTTTTCTTATTCCTTTCCCCTCCCTCCCTCCCTTCATTTTTTCCTTTCCTCCTTTCCTTTCCTTCTCCTCCTTCTTTCCTCTCATCCCCAACTCCCTCCCTCCCTCCCTCATTCCTTCTTTTTTTCCTTTTCCTTCTTCCTTTCCCCTCCCTCCCTTCATTTTTTCCTTTCCTTTCCTTCTCCCTCTCCTTCCTTCCTCATTCCAAACTTCCCTCCTCCCTCCCTCCTCCTTTTTCCTTTCCTCCTTTCCTTCCTCTCTTCCTCTCATTTCCAACTCACTCACTCACTCCTTCTCCTTTTCTTCTTCTTTCCCCTCCCTCCCTCCCTTCATTTTTCCTTTCCTCCTTTCCTTTTCTTCCTTTCTCCCTTCCTTCCTCTCCTTCCCAACTCCCTCCCTCTTTCCTTCCTTTTTCCTTTCCTTTCCTTCTTCTCCTTCCTTCCTCTCATTCCCAAACTCACTCACTCCTTCCTTCTCCCTCCTTTCCTTCTCCTTTTTCTTCTTCCTTTCCTTTCCCCTCCCTCCCTCCATTTTTTCCTTTCCTTTCCTCCTTTCCTTTCTTTCTCCCCTCCTTCCTTCCTCATTCCAAACTCCCTCCCTCCTTCCTTCATTTTCCTTTCCTTTCCTCCTTTCTTTCTTTCTCCCCCTCCTTCCTTCCTCTCATTCCAAACTCACCTCCCTCCTCCTTCCTTCCTTCCTTTTCCTTTCCTCCTTCTTTCCTTCTCCTCCTTCCCTTCCTCATTCCCAATCCCTTCCTTCCTCCCTCCCTCCTTTCCTTCTCCTTTTTCTTCTTCCTTTTTCCCCTCCCTCCTTTTTTCTTTCCTTCCTCCTTTCTTCCTTTCCTTCCTCTCATTCCCAACTCCCTCCCTCCCTCCCTCTTCCTTTTCCTTTTCTTTCCTCCTTTCCTTTCTTTCTCCTCCTCCTTCCTTCCTCTCATTCCCAACTCCCTCCCTCCCTCCCTTCATTTTTTCCTTTCCTTTCCTTCACTTTTCTTTTTCCTTCCCTTCCCTCCTTCTTCTCTCTTCCCTTCTCTTTCTTGGGTTTTTAGTGAGAATGAGCCACGATGAGCCCTGGTGGCTGTACAGAAACTAAACCAGGCGATCCGTTTAATCCACATATATCAAGGTGTGTCCTGCATTTTTCATTTTTGATGACACATTTCATTTTTGGTGTCCACATTTTTATCAAATGTGTATTGGATGTTCCCATTTTAACCCCATCAGGGTTTTATTTATGGGTTGCTCTTTTTCCTCCTTAAACACTTGCAAGGGGGCCAAAAATATATATATTTTGCCAATTTAAACTCCTCTCCCTTCCAAAAGCGCTGGACTACAACCCCCATCATCCACCCACACAGCCTGCCCAGCATCATGGGAGCTGCTGCAATCCAGCACTCCTCCAAGGGCAGAGAAGGGGCGGGGGGGGAGGAGGAGGAGGAAAGAGCAGATCATAGAGACCGAGCGCCGCCTTTGGCCTCTCTATGGTTTTTCTTTCCCCCTACCCCCTATGCGTCCTCGCCCGCGTTGCCGGGCGACCGCGCGCCTAACCCGGATGCGGAGGGGCGCTTCCGGTGTGGGCAGCGTGGCTCCCTGAGACAAGATGGCGGCGCCCTTGTCTGTCCAGCTGGAGTTCGGGTGAGGGAAGCCCACCACGAGGAATTGGGGGGGGAAACAACTGGGGGGGGGGGGCCGGGGGGGGGGACCCCTGAAATAAAATAACCCCTCCCTCCTTTAATCCCTCCCCCATGGGGGCTTCTTAACTGGCTTGGACTACAACACCCATCCTCCCCAGCCAAGCCTTAGCAGGCTGGTCGCCTGGCTGAGGTTTTCATTGAGGGTGGACGCCCCCCCCCCTTTAATGATAAAATTATAACAATTATTATTGTTGTTATTGTTATTATTATATACTTTATTCATTAAACATGAAACTCAGTCAACTGAACATTCAAAAATATATTATTATTCTTATTATATACTTTATTCATTAAACATGAAACTCAGTCAATTGAACATTCAAAAATAAACTATTATTATATTTTATTCATTAAACATGAAACTCAGTCAACTGAACATTCAAAAATATATTATTATTCTTATTATATACTTTATTCATTAAACATGAAACTCAAGTCAATTGAACATTCAAAAATAAACTATTATTATTATTATTATATTATATTTTATTCATTAAACATGAAACTCAGTCAATTGAACATTCAAAAATATATTTTATTTTATTATATACTTTATTCATTAAACATGAAACTCAGTCAACTGAACATTCAAAAAATAATTATTATTATTATATTTTATTCATTAAACATGAAACTCAGTCAATTGAACATTCAAAAATTATATTATTATTATTATATACTTTATTCATTAAACATGAAACTCAGTCAACTGAACATTCAAAAATATTATTATTATTATATACTTTATTCATTAGACATGAAACTCAAGTCAATTGAACATTCAAAAATGCAATCACAAATATTTCATTGACTGGGCTAAGGGTTGATAAGTTGCTGCCTGCGTCCTAGGTATTAAACCAAGTTTATTCATTAAACATGTTGTTATTGAACATTATTATCATTATTATATTATTATATATATTTTATTAATTAAACATGAAACTCAGTCAATTGAACATTCAAAAATTTATTATTATTATTATATACTTTATTCATTAAACATGAAACTCAGTCAATTGAACATTTAAAAATGCATCACAAATACCATTGACTGGTGCTAAGGGTTGATACGGGTTGCTGCCAGCGTCCTAGGTATCAACCAAGTACTTTCTTAATGATGATGATGATGATGATATGTCACCTTGTAGGGCGGCGTAGAAATATAGTTAATAAAAATAAAATAATATATTCCTGGGGATTCCTGCTCCCACCCATATTAAAAGCACTTATTTGGGGTTCTCCCTTCAAGCCCTGGAGAATATCAAAAGGGGTCGTGTTTGTGGATGGGGGGGATGGTGAGTTGACTTTTTCTTCTGGTGTCTTTTTTCCGGGGGGGGTGGGGGATAAGATATGGGAGAACAGGTGTGGAGCTGTGATATGAAAGTTATTCTGCTTGGGTCCAAAACAAGGCAAAACACACAAGCAAACAAAAATAAAGCACCTACTGCCCTCCCATTTCAAGCCATTTTATAGTTTTCATCCTCGCCCTTAAAAAACCAAGGAGGACAGAGTGGGAAGTGATATTCTCTTCCAGCTGTAAAACTTTAAAAGAGGGAAAACTTTAAAAAAAAAACTTTAAAAGAGGGGAAAATGGACGCCCAATTAGAACGACTGAGAGTGGTTAATTTGGATTCAGATTTAAATTTGGATCTCACAAGAATCCGGAAAGAGGCTTTGTATAAAATCATGTATAAAATGCCATTTTTTTTTTAAAGCCAGGGCAAGGTGAACAGATTCAATCGGCATATATTTTCATGTCTTTGGGGCTGGAAATGTCAGGTTTTTCCTAATTGGAGAGTTTGATAAGATAAGAATTTTTGGCTACAGTGGAAGGTCTTGGAGAATCTGGTAACCTATTAAGAACCATGGGTCATCGTATGAATTTATTTACTTTCTGTATTGAGAGTTAGTCCATGCCTCCAGAATTCAGGGTTCTTTAAATGAGTAGCAGGATGTTTGAATTAGCCATAAAGAATAAATATGAACGTGCAGAGAGTGATGTTTTCTCATTATTCTCTGAATTGGTTCCTTTATATGTGGTTTAACATACAAAAGTTTTCATATAATAATAAAAATCCCAACACATTATTAGCAGTAGCATGTAGTTGACCCACACTGAATGTTCCTTTCTCTGGGATATAGATATACTTTTTTTAAAAAAAAACTAGGCTTAAAAAATTGCTTCTAGTATTTATTGGTCAATCTTTCCATTATGAAGACAGTGGGGGAGAAATTCCTTCATATTAAATAGAGAAAGAGGCACTATGTTAAATGCCAAATGAATTGAATCGGACATTTTTTGACTAAGAGTTTTTGTGAGATGCAGTGCTTTCTCAGAAGAACAGCAATGTATAGCAGTCATCAAAAAAGCACAAAAATTCAACATGTATTTAATGTCTTTGAAACATATATGTTCAGCGATGAGAAGTATTATAGGAATTTTTTTAAAATTTTATTTATATGCTATATCCGGAGACTCAGGGCGGCTTACAATGCGTTAAGCAATAGCCTTCATACTTTTGTATATTTTATACAAAGTCAGCTTATTGCCCCCACAAACTGGGTCCTCAATTTACCTACCTTAGAAAGGATGGAAGGCTGCGTCAACCTTGAGCCTGGTGAGATTCGAACTTACAGTAATTGTAGACAGCTGGTGTTAATCACAATGCTATCAGTCTGCTGAGCCACCAGGCCCATTTAAAGAAGAGTGCATAATTTAAAAGGTTTAGACCTTCACACCGTCGGTTGACTTTCGCAGAATAGAGAATTATCTCTTATAAAACAGGCCAGTATATATCAAGATTAGAAATAAAGATATAAATATTAGAAATATTAGATATAAATCAAATTAAAAAAAAAAAAAGATTAGCCCTTTGGTACTATTGCTCTTATTAATGCTCTTTCGAAATCACCCAGTTGGCCAGTACTGCTTCTATTGCTTCTACTGTACAGAATTCATTAAATATATGGGGGTGTGCATATCTTAAACTATTACTGCATAAAGAGGCGTGTTTCGAATATATATATATATATATTACTTTTCACATTTATAAATGTGTAATGAATTTTTTAAAGCAATTCTGGATTCAGAGTTTAACCTTCTCAGCCTTAATTTGATCCGCTGCCATAAAATAGGGTTAATCAAATTCCCCCTTTTGTAAAAGCAATCCTCCGGGGACTGTGGAACTGCAGGTCCCATCCTCCCTGTCTATGGGTCAAGCTAGATCTGGTGTGAGTTGAAATCTGACATTTCTATGTTCATTTCATATTAAGCCCAGGCTTATGCACTCTAGATCAGTGCCCCCCCCCAAAACCTTTTGGGCACCAGGGACTGGGTCTGTGGAGAAAGGTTTTTCCATGGACCGGAGGGGGTGAGGTTTCAGGTGCTGCCTGCATCCCACAGATGGGGATTCGCTTGTTTTGAGTGGTCCGGTTGCTGGCATCCCACGGATCGGTGCCAATCCACAGATGAGGATTGGGGACCCCTGCTCTAGATGCCTTAGGCCCGTGATGGCGAACCTATGGCATGCGTGCCACAGGTGGCACGCAGAGCCATATTGCTGGGCACGCGAGCATTGCCTTAGCTCAGCTCCAGCATGCATGCGTGCGCTGGCCATCTGATTTTGGGGCCTTCTGTGCCCAATGGAAGTCGGCAAACGGGCTGTTTCCGGCCTCCAGAGGGCCTCCGGGGAGGTGGGGAAGGCTGTTTTTGCCCTCCCCAGACTCCTCGAAAGCCTCTGGAGCCTGGGGAGGGCAAAAAACTGGCCTACCAGGCCCACCGTGCCATCAGCGGGGGGAACATGGGGAGGTCGTGCATGCATGCATGGGGGAGTAGAGCGCATAGAATTACGGGTGTGGCACACGTGTGGCCCCCAACTTTTGGCACGCAATGGCAAAAAGGTTGCCATTGCCTTAGGTCATAAGTCTCATAGGATGGTAGGGAGGACTGAAGAGAGGGGATCCTTTTGAGATAAGCCCACCTGCATCTTCCCCCTAGAGACACTGATACCCTTCTTACTCTCCAGAATGGGCCTGTGTGTAGTCGTTCTCGCCAGCTCCCTTCCTTTCCTGGAAAAGCCTAAATGGCCCCTCTATGTGTGAGCGTCACAGCTGAATTTCTCCCTGTTAGCGTGTTACAGAAAGGACCTTATCTGCCACCTCCCTGTCTGTGGGAACGCACAAAGTGTGAGCTTGTTTTCACGGCAAGCAAGCAGAAAAGAGGCCTCTCTCCAGTCACTGCTCAAGCTGGCATTTGGCATGAATCTCTAGGTCTGTCCAACATTTAATAATTGCTATTTTCAGTTTTCAGATAACAATTTGGGGGAGGGGAGAGGGAGGGAGGGAGGGAGGGAGGGAGAAAAAATTGGACAAGACCAACAGCTTTCTTTGAGGAGAGCAACTACCCAGAAATCACAGCCTTACAAAGGAAGTGCTGTGTTCCAGAAAAACTACAGCCAAAACTCTTCTTTTAACATCCCTGGGTTTAAAGATACTGAGAATATTCTGCTTTTTAAAAAGTTTTCATGTTCCTTTGCTGAGGCCTCTTGCAAACGTTGAAGCTAAAAGGTTGGGTGTAAAGAAGAACAGAGTTGGAAATGGGACCTTGGAGGTCTTCTAGCCCAACCCCCATGAAAAAGAAAGGACATCTTTGAAACTTATTCGCTAATGGTGCTTTGGGTGATGCCCGCTTTCTGTTAATCTTAATCTGTTAATCTAATGAGCCTTGGTGGCGCAGCGGACTAAACTGCTGTTAAAGTAGCACTTAGCTGCCAGCTGCCTGCAATTACTGCGAGTTCAATTCTCACCAGGCTCAAGGTTGACTCAGCCTTCCATCCTTTCGAGGTAGGTAAAATGAGGACCCGGTTTGTGGGGGCAATAAGCTGACTTTGTATAAAATAGAACACCGCTTGGGGTGGGGGCCAAAAAAGCCCTACAAAGCAGGTATATACAAAAGTATGAAGGCTATTGCTTAATGCATTGTAAGCCGCCCTGAGTCTCCGGAGAAGGGGTGGCATATAAATCGAACTAATAAAATAAAATAAATAAAATAAATCTTGGCTAAAGGGATATGTTTTAAACAGGACTGACAATATCTTCAAATCTGGCCATTATACTTGTCTATGTGTGAAGTGGGATATTTTTGACAGCTGAGCCCAAAATCGGAGGCCGAGCCAGGCCCAAGGCTTTCTGAGACTCCCAAGCAAACTATTTAAACGCAGAATGGAGAAAATGGGATTTTAAACGAATGCCTGCTCAGCCGTGGTTTTGAGTCCGAGCAATTACAAAAGGGTCAAGGAAAGGACCAGACAATTCCGGGCCTTAGTGAATTCTCCTTTCGGCTTTCCAGACTCTCTCTCTCTCTATATATATATGCAATTGCTTTTTTTCTACTGTACATTTTAGCTTTAAAACGTTAATGCTTCCCAAACTGGCCTTATACAATTATGTTTCTCTCCCTCCCCCTTTTGAATTTCAGAGGTGGAGCAGAACTCCTGTTTGACGGGGTAAGAAAACATCAAGTGAATTTGCCCCACCAGTCCGAACCTTGTGAGTATTGACTGACTGATAATAACAAGTCTTTGCAGATGCTTATTTACCGTACTTTTCAGAGTATAAGAGGCACTTTCTCCCACCCGCCCCCCAATAGAAGGTGGAAAGGTTGGTGCATCTTATACACCGAATACAGCCATTTTTGGCCTCCCGAAACCCCGTCCTGCGCATCCCATTTTTGCCAGAAATAGGCCCGTTTTTCACAAAAATGGGCCGCGCAGAGGGTTTGGGAGGCCTGCAGAGTGCTCCTGGGGCCTGGGGAGGGCAAAAACCGGACATGTGGAGGCAAAAACTATTTTTTTTCTTGTTTTCCCCTTCAAAATCTTGGTGCGTCTTATACTCCGGTATGTCTTATGGTCCGAAAAATACGATATTTAAATAACAACCTCTTCTCAGCAGCCTGAACTCATAAACGTCAAACTCTTGGAAAAGCAGCACGATAGCCATCTTTAGATACAGACATCTTCATGGAGGATACCATCCTAGGAGGAGCGTGTTCGTAATAACAATCCCTCACAAAGTAAATTTTTTAAAAAAAAATGATTCTAAGATGCCCAAAGATTATATTGAAGTTGCTGGGAGGATATTCTTCACAGAGGAACCTTGAGGGATGACGTAAAACTAAACCTAAAAAGATTTAGGTTTATAGCAGATGCGGTGGGTAAGCCGCTGAGTTTGTCGATCGAAAGGTCGGCAGTTCAGCGGTTCGAATCCCTGGTGCCGCGTAACGGGGTGAGCTCCCGTGACTTGTCCCAGCTTCTGCCAATTTAGCAGTTCGAAAGCAGGTAAAAAATGCAAGTAGAAAAATAGGGACCACCTTTGGTGGGAAGGGAACAGCGTTCCGTGCGCCTTTGGCGTTGAGTCATGCCGGCCTCATGACCACGGAGACGTCTTCGGACAGCTCTTCGGCTTTGAAACGGAGATGAGCACCGCCCCCTAGAGTCAGGAACGACTAGCACATATGTGCGAAGGGAACCTTTACCTAAAAAGATTTCCTGGTTGTTTCTCATCCTGTTTAGACACTAATTTTCACTCTTTTCCCCCTATGCTGGCTTGAAAGCTGACCAAAACGAAACCAATTTTATTTCAGACTCTTTTCTAGTCGAGAGCACTGGAGGAATTCCGAACCGTCCAGCTTTCTCAGGCTGGGCACCGATACCCCCTCCTCCTTCTTCCCCTTCCGTTAACGTGCAAGGGGGATTTTCTGGCCTGAGAGTTTCAAACCATGGTTTTCCAGCAGTAAAGCGTCAAGCAAGCTGGTGGAGAAAGAGAGACCACGTGGCCCTTTGTGATCCTGGTTTATATCCAGGGTTTTTTTTTCCTCTCCCTTTTTTTAAAAAAAAAATCCAGGCCTTTTCCTGCCAGGTTCCCCTGAGCTGGGCCTGCACAGAGTCGCCCAGCAGCAGCGAGGAGGTGTATCGAATGCAAGAGGCAGCTCAGGATGGGGTGTCCCGCCTGGAGAGGAGAGCGGAGGCCAGGAAAAGAGAGGAGGGGGTAGAAGAGGAAAAAAAACAAAACACAAACAAACTTGGGAAAGTTTCCTTGTTAAGGATTCTTAAATCTCTAAGAGAGGAAGAAGAAACAGATTCACAGCCCGGATCCGTGGAGAACGAATGCAAAGCAGAAAGGGGTGTCCCCCCCCCCACCCCCAAGGTGACAGTGTGGGGAGGTGTGTCCGTAGACCTTTAAACTGTGCAGTCTTTGCTTTGCACAGTTCACACTGCCAGCTGTTCCTTTCTCCTCCCTCCCTCCTTCCCTTGCGAGGGGGCTGTGTTTGCAGAAGCCGGGGTGGGGGTCCCCTGTGCAAAATTGCTTTTGAAAAGAGCTACTTTCTGCTTAATTAAACAATGGGCCGCCCCTGCCCCACACACATCTGTACAGGCCCCCCGCTGCTTTATCCCTCCAACTTTATCCCACAAAGTGCTCCATTCTTGATTCCTTTTCATTTGTAAATCTCCCCCTCCCTGACCCCTCCCCCTCCCCCTCCCCCCCACCTTCCTCTTTTGCCAGTCCTCTCCCTTGCCTTTCTCTCCCCTTTCAGATGAAACTGCTGAGAAGCTGGGTGACATTGTCCTGATTTTTTTTTTAAATGGGGGGGGGGGCAGGGGTAATAGTTTGAGAATGGAGCTGTTTGCCTTAAAGGCCCTCTATTTGTCTTTTCTTGACGGATCGGGGCAGAGGGGAGGGGTGAGAGAGAGGGGGGGGAGGTAGAAACTTCTGGGATGGTCAGAGTTTTGAATTTGACCCCTTTGCAAAGCTGGGATGAGATGGGGTTGCTTTTTGGGAGGGGCTTCTCCTGAAGAGCACAAAATCCTTTTCTTTTTTTCTTCTCCTTCTTTGGTCCGCTCGATCAAAATCAAGAGAGACTTTAATCTGGGCTACATTGGATTTGGAACTGACCGGCTGCTCTCATCGATTAATCATCCTAAATCTTATTTCAAGGCCGCTCATCACAGCTAGATCTCTGAAGCAAGAGAGAAGTTTCTGCATTAATGCGTCTTTAGGGAAAAGAACTCTCCTTAAAGACAAGGCCAAAAGGGGAATAGAATGGAATGGAATGGAATGGAATGGAATGGAATGGAATGGAATGGAATAGCATAGAATAGAATAGAATAGAATAGAATAGAATAGAATAGAATAGAATAGAATAGAATAGAATAGAATAGAATAATAGAAAAAATGGAATGGAATGGAAAATAGAATGGAAAATAAAATGGAATGGAATGGAATGGAATGGAATGGAATAGAATAGAATAGAATAGAATAGAATAGAATAGAATAGAATAGATAGAATAGAATAGAATAGAATAGAATAGAATAATAGAAAAAATGGAATGGAATGGAAATAGAATGGAAAATAAAATGGAATGGAATGGAAATGGAATGGAATGGAATAGAATAGAATAGAATAGAATAGAATAGAATAGAATAGAATAGAATAGAATAGAATAGAGAATGGAATGGAATGGAATGGAATGGAATGGAATAGCAGAGTTGGAAGGGACCTTGGAGGTCTTCTAGTCCAACCCTCTGCTCAGGCAGGAAACCCTACACCACTTCAGACAAAGGGTTATCCAACCTCTTCTTAAAAACTTCCAGTGTTGGAGCATTCACAACTTCTGGAGGCAAGTCGTTCCACTGGTTAATTGTTCTCACTGTCAGGAAATTTCTTCCTTAGTTCTAAGTTGCTTCTCTCCTTGATGAGTTTCCACCCGTTGCTTCTTGTCCTGCCCTCGGGTGCTTTGGAGAATAGCTTGACTCCCTCTTCTTTGGGGCAGCCCCTGAGATATCGGAAGACTGCTATCGTGTCTCCTCTAGTCCTTCTTTTCATTAAACTAGACCTACTCAGTTCCTGCAACCGTTCTTCGTATGTTTTAGCCTACAGTCCCCTAATCATCTCTGTTGCTCTTCTCTGCGCTCCTTCTAGAGTCTCCACATCTTTTTTACATCGTGGCGACCAAAACTGGATGCAGGATTCCAAGTGTGGCCTTACTAAGGCTTTATAAAGTGGTATTAACACTTCAGGTTATCTTGATTCTATCCCTCTGTTAATGCAGCCTAGAACTGTAACAGATGCCCAACTTGGCTGGCTGGCTGGCTGTCTTGCCGAGGGAGCAAAATTTCGACTTTATTCCCTGGGGAGAATTTGAATCCAGACCAGGCTGCAGCTGAGGCTGGCTGGCTGGACGGCTCTCTTGCTCTCCTTCGTCCCTTTTGATGCATACTCAGGGAAGGTGATCTCTTGAGGTGAAACAACCCCCCCTGGACTCTCCTGCTTTTCTCCCCCTTTCTCCTTCTCTTCCTCCTCCTCCTCTTTCTCCTTCCTCCTTCTCTTTCTTCTCCTTCTTTCCTCCTCCTCCTTCCTCCTCTTTCTTCTCCTTTCTTCCTCCTCCTCTTTCTCCTTCCTCCTCTTTCTTCTCCTTCTTTCTTCCTCCTCTTCCTCCTTCCTCCTTCCTCCTTCACTTTCTTCTCCTTTCTTCCTCTTCCTCCTCCTTTCTTCTCCTTCTTTCTTCCTCCTCCCTTCCTCCTCCCTTCTCTTTCTTCTCCTTTCTTCTCCTCCTCTTCCTCCTTCCTCCTTCCTCCTCCTTTCTTCTCCTCCTTTCTTCCTCCTCCTCTTCCTCCTCCTTTCTTCTCTTCCTCCTCCTCTTTCTTCTCCTTCTTCCTTTCTCCTCCTCCTCTTCCTCCTTCCTCCTCCTCTTTCTCCTTCTTTCTTTCTCCTCCTCCTTCCTCCTCCTCCTCCTTTCTTTCTTCCTCCTCCTCTTCCTCCTTCCTCCTTCTCTTTCTCCTCCTCCTCCTCCCTCTTCCTCCTCTTCTTTCTTCTCCTTCTTCCTTCCTCCTCCCATGGATGTTGTTATATTTAAGCAGAGAGATCCGGTAGCCCTGACGCAGAGTTGAAACAAATCTGATTTTTTTAAAAAAAAAAAAAAGTTTTGTTTGTTAAATTTAATATGTCGACTAACTCCTTATCAATCCACACTTACGGTGGGTTCTTCCCACTGCCTATGTGGCCTCACCCCAGCCCTGCATGATATATTTAAGGTTTTTTGGAGCTGTGGGGGGGGGGGAATGCCAGGGGGAGATACAAATGAGAAATGCCATCCCAAGGCTACCTCATTTCAGCTTATGACCTTCGCTGAGCCCGTCCTTCTGCGCCCCCCCCTCCCGTCTTCATTCAGCCAGGCCACATTTGGCTTCCCCCAGACCGAGTGGGTCCCTCCTCCCCCTCCTCCTCCCCCTCCCCTCATTATTATTTTTTAAACGTGAAGAATAAGTCATCTATCAATCCAAAGAGGTGCTCCAGCTTCAGGAGGAGGGAGGGGAAGGGGGGGGTCGCTTTGTCATGGCGACGGGATGACAATTGGTCGGAGGGAGTGACCTCAGCAAATTGAAGCTTGGGCTGTGGTCACTTGTGATAAATGATCCCCTTCTCCTGGGGGAACCGGGGTGAAAGGCCTAGGGGAGGGCTCCGGGTCCCCCACCCCACCCCACCCCCAGCGAAGCGTCTGAGCAACCCATTCAAAGACTTGATGGAAACGTTGAACGCCCTACGCCTGGTTGACTGGCTTGGTGGTACATCTCACTACTACTACTACTACTACTACTACTACTACTACTTCTTCTTCTTCTTCTTCTTCTTCTTCTTCTTCTTCTTCTTCTTCTTCTTCTTCTTCTTCTTCTTTTCTTCTTCTTTTCGCTTATCTTCTCCTCCTCCTTTCTCCTTCTCCTTTTCATCTCCTCCTCTTCCTCCCCCACTCCTCCTCCTCTTCTCTCCTCCTCCTTCTTCTTCCCTCTTCTATCTTCTTTTCACCTATCTTCTCCTCCTCCTCCTTTCTCCTTCCCCTTTCATCTCCTCCTCTTCCTCCTTCTTCTTCTTCTTCTTCTTCTTCTTCTTCTTCTTCTTCTTCTTCTTTTCGCTTATCTTCTCCTCCGCCTTTCTCCTTCTCCTTTTCATCTCCTCCTCTTCCTCCCCCCACTCCTCCTCCTCTTCTCCTCCTCCTTCTTCTTCTTCCCTCTTCTATCTTCTTTTTGCCTATCTTCTCCTCCTCCTTTCTCCTCCTCCTTTTCATCTCCTCCTCTTCCTCCCCCTCTTCCTCCTCATCCTCTTCTTCTTTTTCTTCCCTCTTCTATCTTCTTGTTCTTCCTTCTCCTCCTCCTCCTCCTCCTCCTCCTCCTTCTTCCCTCTTCTATCTTCTTCTTCTTCCCTCTTCTATCTTCTTTTCACCCATCTTCTCCTCCCCCTTTCTACTTCTCCTTTTCATCTCCTCCTCTTCCTCCCCCCCACTCTTCCTCCTCCTCCTCCTCTTCTTCTTCCCTCTTCTATCTTCTTGTTCTTCCTCCTCCTCTTCTTCTCCTTCTCCTTCTTCTTCTCCTTCTCCCCAATACGGTGGCCTGGGTGCCTCAGCCTCGCGCCCAGGGCCTTGTGGACGAGCTGAGACGCAGGCCATCCTCCACCTGCGGCCACAATTGACTCTCTGACATTTCCGTCATTAAGCGAGATGTCCGTTAAAAGGGGCTTTGCTCTGTTTCGTGAACTTTTCTTTGCCACTGTTTTTTTTTAAGTGAACCGCCGTAATTGATAAGCGAGCAACCTGGTCATTAAGTGGCTTCCCCATGGACTTTGCTGCTCAGAAGGTCGCAAAAAGGGGAATCTCGCATGATACCCACCCACCCCCGGGACACTGCAGCCATCATAAATATGAGTCAGTTGCCAAATTGTCTGAATTTTGATCAGGTGATCATGGGGAGGCCGCGAAGGTGATAACTGTGAAAAACTGGTCGTAAGTCCCTTTTCTCAGTGCCATTGTAAGTTTGGTCACTAAACAGAGCCTTGGTAGTACAGGGGTTTAAGGCACCCTGTTATTAAGCTTATTAAGACCAGCTGCCTGCAATTACTGCAGGGTTCGAATCTCGCCAAGGCTCAAGGTTGACTCAGCCTTCCATCCTTTCTAAGGTAGGTGAAATGAGGACCCAGTTTGTGGGGGCAATAAGCTGACTTTGTATAAAATATACAAAAGGATGAAGGCTATTGCTGAGCACATTGTAAGCCGCCCTGAGTCTTCGGAGAAGGGCGGCATATAAATCAAATAAAAAAAAAAAAAGAACCGTTATAAGGCGAGGACTACCTGTATGGGGTGTGACCCTGGGATACCAGGCACAGAACCTGGGGTGGCCCTGTGCCATTTCGTCCGGCCGGTGAGATCTTGCTAAAGGCCCCAACCAGAGTACCTCCTTGTCCTACTAAAGAGCTTGTTTTGGAACTGGATGATAGCAATAGCACTTAGACTTATATACCGCTTCACAGAGCTTCACAGCCCTCGCTAAGCATTTTACAGAGTCAGCCTCTGGCCCCCAACAATCTGGGTCCTCATTTGACCAACCTCGGAAGGACGGAAGGCTGAGTCAACCTTGAGCCGGTCAGGATCGAACTCCTGGCAGTGGGCAGAGTTAGGTTGCAATCCTGCATTCTAACCACTATACCACTGCGGCTCTTAGATAAATAGAGATAGAGATAGAGATAGAGATAGAGATAGAGATAGAGATAGAGATAGAGATAGAGATAGAGATAAAGAGATAGATAGATAGATAGATAGATAGATAGATAGACAGACAGACAGACAGACAGACAGACAGACAGACAGACAGACAGACAGATAGATACTGTGTTTTCCCAAAAATAAAATCCTGTCTTTTTTGAACCCTGAAATAAATGCTTGGCCTTATTGCCATGTGCTCAAAAGCCTGATTGGGCTTATTATCAGGGGAGGTCTTATTTTGGGGGAAACAGGGTGGGTAGGTAGGTAGGTAGGTAGGTAGGTAGGTAGGTAGGTAGATAGATAGATAGATAGATAGATAGATAGATAGATAGATGAATAGATAGATAGATAGATAGATAGATAGATAGATAGATAGATGAATAAATAGATAGATGAATAGATAGATAGATGAATAGATGAATAGATAGATAGATAGTTGGTGAATAGATAGATAGAAGATAGATGAATAGATAGACAGACAGACAGACAGACAGAGTACTAGCACTTAGACTTATATGCCACTTTATAGTGCTTTGCAGGCCTCTCTAAGAGTCAGCCGATGGCCCCCCAACAATCTGGGTCTTCATTTTACCGACCTCGGAAGGAGATGAAGCAGACATACTGCGAACTCCGGAACTTTAAAATTTTAAAATTTTAAAAGAATTAAAATTTTATTTTACTAAGCTGTCGCCAGCCATCTACTAACATCATCAGAGTATTAAACTACCATTACAGATATATATATATATATATATATATATATATAGAGAGAGAGAGAGAGAGAGAGAGAGAGAGAGAGAGAGAGAGAGAGCGCCATAGCGCTTAGACTTATATACCGCTTCACAGTACTTCACAACCCTCTCTAAGTAGTGTATCGCCCCCAACAATCTGGGTCCCCAATGATGGTCCCAAGCAAAGCCTCGATCCTTTGACCGAACCACAGCTTCCTTTCCGCTCCACCAACTGTTCTAGGTTTGACTTCTCAATTGCTTTAATGACCTCCCTGCGTGAGGAGTGGGGGGGGGGCGGATGGGGGAAGCCCCTCATCTCCCAACCCTCTGCTCATCCTTGTAAAGACGGGACCCTCGTATTAAGGGAGGCCCTTCCTTAAGTTTCCTTCAAAAGGCATCACAGTTTTAGACACGGAATCCGTGCTTGGAAGTTGGCGCAAGCGATTACATTTTCAAAGGGGAGAAGAAGAAAAAAATAAGTGTTTTTATTTCTTTACAAAATGAATCGACTGCCTCAGTCTCCTAAAACCTCTTCTAAAAACTACGTTCCAAGAAGGGGCACCTTTGTGGATGATTTTTTTTTTTATTTGATTTATATGCCGCCGTTCTCCGAAGACTCAGGGCGGTTTACAATGCGTTAAGCCATAGCCTTCATCCTTTTGTATATTTATACAAAGTCAGCTTATTGCCCCCACAAACTGGGTCCTCATTTCACCTACCTTAGAAAGGATGGAAGGCTGAGTCAACCTTGAGCCTTGGAGAGATTCGAACCTGCAGTAATTGCAGGCAGCTGTGTTAATAACAGGGTGCGTAGACCACTGTACTATCAAGGCTCTTGGAGTGGGGATGGGGAGGGCGTGTGTGTGTGAAAGAAACCCCCAAGGTGAACAAAATCCAAAATAAGGGGCATGCGTAAGAGCACCAGCGTTAAAAGTGAAAAAATGATGTGACAAATGTGTAAAAATATTGTAAATGAAAAAAAAAACGAGAAATAAAGGGATGATGATAAAGATAATAAAGGATGAGAAAAAAGGGGAATGTAGCAAGGAGAAGGTAAGAGGAACGAAACTGATACGTAGAAAGAAACACATAGTGTGTGTTTGTTGTGTTGTGTTGTGTTGTTGTTGTAAAATTAATAAAATTAAAAATAAGAGCATCAGCCTGTCTACCGTCCCTGTCCTAATGTTCCCTTTAATTGTATTCATTTTATGTCTTCAATTCATGCTTATATATATATAATCTAATACGTACTTGGCTAAATAAATAAATAAAATAAAACAAATATAATTTATCGTTCTTAATGGGCACTGACCTGGATCAAAGTCCTTCTATCTATCCCGTCCTGCGGTAAGAGGACCAGTATTAATATTACGGCCCTGTCTTGATCGACGGGGTGGAGTAGGATTTGGTGGTAGGATTTCAAGATAATTTGAAGATGGGGTGGGCTGAAATTATGAGTCGGGGGGGGAGGAGGAGGCTAAATATTTGCTATTTTAACGAAGCGTTAGTATTAACACCTACTTTACGCAGAGGGCTGATGCAGTGTCCTTAAGAGACACCCCGGAGTAGTCCAGCTGAGTGACTTTTTAAGAACCACCAAGCTCTGCGGAAAGACAAAAAGAGCAGAAATACTGGGGGAAGGGGGGGGGGGGCCCCCCCCCCCCCAAATTAAGTATTAACCAGCCTGCTTTCCTTTTTTTAAAAAAGATCCCTTTAACCAATTAATTTCTTCTGCGCCACCCACCTACCCATCCCGCTTCTCATCTCCCCAGGACAAAATGAGCTGATGTTATCGTTCCCCCTCAAAGAAAATTGTTTTCCGGGGGGGGGGGGAGGCTTTTGTTGGTTAAATTGATACTAAAACAAGAAAGAGGGGAGGGGGAGATAGGAGGAGGGGAAGTCGGAGTGGGATGGGGGACCTTTTCCTAAAGGGAGCAACGAACGATTGTGCGGAATTAAGGGATAGGGGAGAAAAGGCAACCTTGGAGCTTGTGATATATTGCTTCCCAGCGAGGTCTTCTTTTAATTGTGTGGATTTTTTAGGTTTTTGTGTTTTTTTTTTTATTATAGGGAACCTCCGACATTTGCTGACGTGGATCAAAGGAAACCTGCTGAAAGAGAGGCCTGAATTATTTGTGCAAGGAGACTCGGTGTGAGTACATACACACACACATACACACGCACACAATAGCACAGAGACTCGCAGTTTTCTCCTTTGCAAACTGGCAGCCTTGAGAGGGAAACCGCCTTCTAAGGAATTTCTCTCGCAAGGACCCCAACTTGCAAGGGAGTAAGTGGCTAAATTCGAGCCATTTACTCCCTCTTTCAAAAACTAAGCCCAGCCGGTGCCTGGTCGTAGGATGGGCATCCGCATCGATTTTGTGTCTGCTTTACTGCACGCTCTTTTTTGTTTGTTTGTTTTTTTAAGCGCCCTCCGATTGTAGAGCCTTTAACCCTCCGCGTTCGGTCCTAAGCGGAGAAGGGAAACCAATTATCGTTCCCTGAGCTGGGCTTGTCTTCCTAATCCTCCACGCCACACTGCCCCTGTCCGTTGGAGAGCGTGCGCTGCTCTCCCGTAACTTGACGTCTTCGGTGGTGCCTTCCGCCACCATCCGCCTCTAGAAGAAACGGAGGGATCCTTTGTGGAAATCCTCCTCCTTTTCAAGTCCTCCCACCCCTTCCTAAATTTCCTCTCTGCAGTGAGATCAGGACAGGCCTGGTTAGCAATCATCCCATTCCCCACCCACAATTCGGTGTGGGAGGGCAGCGTGGAGCGCCAGTTCTTCCCCCCCCCCTCCTCCAAACCCTGGGAAAAAATCGATTGCTAGGAAGCCGAAGATAGACCGGGGGGGGGGGGGGTCCCGTTGCCCCCGCAGGCTTTCCGTGGGAATCTCAGCTGCCACCTCTTTTTTTCCCCCCCCCCCCCCCCCCACTGTCTCCCCCCCCCCCCCTCTGTGCTCAGTCCGCAGGGCAGATTTAAATTACAGGGATGAACAGGATTGTACCAAGCCGCTGATGACGTGCTGCCTTGGAGCGTTTTTAGGAAGGATATCTCTCTATCAGTCACAGCCTATCCTGATGCTAACCGGGGATGCTCGGCCTCAAGGCCGTCTGCCACTCAAACCTTCGGGGCACTTAAGCCTCCAAGGACCTTCCAAACGAGAGCACCCCAAAAACTTTTATTTAAGGTGGGCACAATCTGAAAATCGGCAAGGAAAAGAAAAAAACGCTTTAGATCCTTAACGTCAGCTGTTGCAAACGGATTTGCAAGCGCCCCGTAAGAAGCTAAGTAGGCTGGACTAAATTTGCAGCTCGCCGTTGTGATGGATGTCGCTAGTTAGAGAGGGCAAGACTAAACGCAGCAAGGAAGCCGTGAAAATTATAGGGGTTGTCTCCTTCAAAGACGATTAAAAGAAGGAAGGGTCATAGTGCCAGCGTACGGCAACATTTCCAAGGCCTGGAGTTCTAAAAACTCGAATTTAATTCGTGTATAGGAAATAGATCTTGGCTGAACCTTGGGAGAAGTTTTTTGAGAGCGGAAATAAATCGGCGATGGAACACGATTTGAGCGTGCGCCTGACAAATCCTGCCACTGCCGTGCATGTTTCTAGACCCGAAACCTGTTTCTCTTAACAGCTGCTCTGTTTTTCCCTGTAGGCGCCCAGGAATCCTGGTGCTTATTAATGATGCAGATTGGGAGCTGATGGTATGTCTCACTTTGGTTATGCGGAAGGTGTCTTATTTTCTGCGGTGGCCAGAAGGGAGGTCCCAAAGGGGTTGTGGTGTCAGGTTTTGGGGGTGCCCCTTCCCTTTCCTTTCCGGATGCTGAAATGAACCATCCCTGTCTTATTTGATGCTCACTGGGCATCAAATCCTCCTTGGCTAGTTTGGGGCATTTCCTCTGGATGGTGGAGGAACAAAATGGATTTCAGCGCCTTCCAAATCATCCCTTGACTGTCAGGAGCAAAGGATCGGGGCCACAGGTTGAGTGGTAGTTCAGAAAGATTTATTGTTTAAGCCGACAAGAACCCAGTTAACTATCGGTCAGCACTAGCTAAGGGTCAACAGAAAGAGTTACCCTGGGTAAGATGCCAATAAATTTTGCAAATAAATAAATAAATAAGCAGAATTCAATGGCAGCTGGAATTGGATCTCTTGTGGCGGCGCAAAGATGCCAAACCGATGACGTATTTCACTCCGCCTTCCAGCTCTGTCTGCTCATCTCCTTCATTGACTCTCCTTTGCTTCCTTCCTTCCTTCCTTCCTTCAGGGCAACCTGGACTATCAACTGCAAGACCAAGATCATGTGGTTTTCATCTCCACTTTACACGGGGGTTAGCCCCCCCGCGCCAGGGAGTGGGGCAATCCTAAACCATCAACGACAAAACTAAACAGCCTTTCGGTTGAGCCAACTTCGTAAGAAAGCCAAATTTTTTTTTGGGGAAGAGCTTGGACCTGCAGGGTTGAATCCCAGCTTTGGATGGGAAGAATGTAACCCTGGAACGTTTTCTCTTGGGCTGTGGGTCGGGCGAGCTCCCCCGAGCCGTTGTTGACTCTTGAGAAATGAGGAGGGAAACCGGAGAGCTGCAGCTGAGCCCCGTGGTTATTTGCAGTGCCTGTTTGTTTTCAAGTGAACAAGAAGTCGCCATCTTCTTTCTGCCCTAGCAGCCAGAAGAGACAATCCCAGGGATGGGATGTGATAAGGGCAGGGACCTTCTCCGTCTCTGATCCAGCCTTCCAGGCCTTAAGACCACAGTACCACTTGACTTACCCCTCCGTTTTGATCCGCAGACCTCCCAACCAGCATTTCGGTAACTGAGCTGAAAAATTAACTGGGGCAGCCCACCTACAAATGCTCGCTTTGAATTTAGGGTGTGTGCTATGCGTGGGCCAAGGTTATGCAAAAATCTGGACTGGTCTAAAGTCTCCTGCCTGCCCATGAGGTTGGACTCGGAGACCTCCAACTCCTGCTATTCTGATTCCCTCGCTTGCCTTTCTTGTACCTATATTTTAAATAAATATTGTGCAGAGCTTCCTTTGCTAATATTTCACCTGCTAACTGCGGTTTGTGTGTCTTTTCATCAGGGATGCCAAAGGCCCACTCTGTTGTCAGCGTCTTTAGCAACAAATAAAACGGCTACCCCCACCCCTGCTCCTGTGTTATCTGCGGATAATTCTTTTTTTTTTAAAATTTTTTATTAAACACATATTAAAACATTGGACACAGTGTAACCGTCCTGGCATTATCTTTGCCATACATACTAAAATAAACAATAAGTATCATATACACCTTGCTAATAGGGACGCGGTGGCTCAGTGGCTAAGACGCTGAGCTTGTCGATCGGAAGTTCGGCAGTTCAGCAGTTCGAATCCCTGGCGCAGCATAATGGGGTGAGCTCCCGTGACTTGTCCCAGCTTCTGCCAACCTAGAAGTTCGAAAGCACGTAAAAAATGCAAGTAGAAAAATAGGGACCACCTTTGGTGGGAAGGGAAGAGCGTTCTGTGCGCCTTTGGCGTTGAGTCATGCCGGCCACATGACCACGGAGACGTCTTCGGACAGCGCTGGCTCTTCGGCTTTGAAACGGAGATGAGCACCGCCCCCTAGAGTCGGGAACGACTAGCACAGATGTGCGAGGGGAACCTTTACTTATATACATTTGGTCTATTCAGTATTTACATATATAAAGACATCATTTTTCTATCTATATTACTTACACATTTGTCTTTATCCTCTTTCATTCTATTGTAGTTACATACATATCCTTAGTTCTCTGTTCTATAAGTTCTAGTCAGTTCATATTTTTCATCCCTCCTTTCCGTTCCAACAAATGGATAAAATTTGTCCCATATCTTATAATAACTGGCTCGCCTTTTATTTTTCAATTCCAACGTTAAATTTGTCCCATTTCATCTGCGGATAATTCTTGTTTGTAACGGTTTCCTCAAGTGAAGTTGGGCCATTGGCCTGCCTAGATTGCAAAATGGCGGACGTGCGTGTGGCTTGGTACATTTTGAGGAAGAGCCTAGCTATCAAATCCTCCGAATTCCCCAAACTGTATTCTAGAAACCGGAGATCTAGTACATCTGGAAGGCACCAAGTTTGAGAAAAGCGATCTAATGTTCAGGACATTCGTTTTTATGACTGAAAACCTCGGTTCCGTCCAGCCTAGAACTGAATATTCTTGTACAAGGGAACTGTTTCATGGAGGGGGAAGGGATTTAATTTTTCCCAATTGTTGATTTTTTTTTCTGGATCACTGGTGGTAGATCTACTGCACCCTATTCCCCGCACCGAGGGCAGAAATGTAATTTTAATAAACTCCAAAGAGACAGCCGACAAGAGACGTCAAACCCCGCGTCACCGATGCAAACCGAAAAGCTGAGTGCGTTTGCAAAGGCGGGATTGTAATTTCTCTCTCTGCATGCATAGTTTTAAGTTCTGATTTTATTTCGATTTTTTAAAAAATCAGATACACCCGCCGTAGTGGGCAGAGCCAGGCAATCAACTGACTGAAGGGGAGAAAAGAGAAATAAACACAAATATCTCCGAATTTATAATCTGCAAAGCAATCTTTCTCGAAATGGCAAATTGCATTCCTAAAATACGATGGTGCAGATCTTGAAGTGACGCTTTGCTCTTGCTTTTCCATTCAAGATTTGTGGGGTAGAGATGTGGAGCAAGAAATTCAAAATTTCTGCAGGTTTCCTGTCAGCTGGCCAACCTAAAGAATCCATTGATTAAAGCGAGATGCAGAGAGATTTGAACCCAACCCTTCAGAAGTTAGCTATCGATCGGTGATTTTTGTACATGCTCAGAAATGGCCTTTTTTGTGGGGCAGGATCCAAACTGCAAGACATATGGAAGAGAACTCAAAAAGAACTGGCCACATTTCTGTTTTTCCCAAGGCCGCCGACACCAGCGGCAAAATTGACTTTTGAGTTTAATGGGTTTGCAAAAACAAAAACGAAAAAAAATCCCAGCAAATATCCCTGTTCAAATTCTGGATGTGTAAATTATACATGATTTTTCAATATAAATGCTGAAGGAAACTCCCAGGATGATTAAAGGGCTGTCAATCCTTTTTTTTTTTTTTTTAAACCACAATCCTATGAATCAGCAGATTTAATGTATCCGGTTTAATCAGCCCAGTAAAATCTGCAGAGCTGAACATTTTTATCTAGCAAAGCTGTAAAAGTTTAGGGAAGGATGGTCCAAGCGCAAATCTTGGGGTCCGTTCGGAAGAATTGCCAACATGTTTTATGAACTAATTCATAATTCCGGAAAGGTGGGTGCTTTTTAATAAAATACTTTAGTCTGGAAAAGGTATTGCCAGATTCTTTCTGATGCTTAAAAGAAGGTGAATCTTTCAGGGGTGAAATTTAAGCCCCTGTTTTAAGAAAATTGCTTGGAGTAAGGAGAAATTCTCCAAAGGTGCTTTTTCAAGAGGCAACTGGACTTTTCTTGTTATTCTTTTGAGCTGAGGAAGCTCCTTGGATGAGAAGCGAAACGTCTTCAAAAGAATAACAAGGAAGTCCAGTTGCCTCTTGAAAAAGCATCCATAACTGGATGACTGAGACTCTCCAGAGACAGAGTAAGGAAAAAAAATAAAATTGGAATGTTTAAAATACTTTGGACCCAAGGGGGAAAAAAAGTTTAAAAGACTGAATTCCAGGGAATAAGAGCAAGCCAAGGGAACAAATCACCGGACAAAATATTCTCTTCTGAAATAATTTCCTTTTCTAGCAAATCTTTACTACAAAAATGGGCCTGTTTTAAAATATCTTCTCAGATCTTCTGGGCTAATTCCAACCACCAGTCAACCCTGCTTGATTTTTTTTCCCCCTCTCTTCTGTCTTGTCTTTAAACAGGGCTGATTTATTTATTTATTTTTGCTCTTTTAATATTAAACGCACAAAGCAAGTGAAACGAATCATCAGCAATTTTTAAAGCAAGTTCTCTGGTTCCATCAAAACAGAACGATGGAACTCACTAACTCCGGCTTGTGAAGCCAGTTAAAAATGATATTTCTGGAATACATCCTGATAGACAGGAGAGCAGGTTTAAAAAATAAAAAATGAGAGAAAAAAGCTTTTTTTTTAAAAAAAAAAAATACATTAAGAACCGTCTCCAAATACAGCTTCCAACAATCACAGGTGTCCGCAAAGCCAAAAGAACAATTAAACAACGGTTTGATACAAAATACCTTTAATAAAAATAAATTTTTCAGTAAGATTACTTGGGGGAAACATTGCGTGGGAAATAGGGGGAAGAAAAAAGTTTGCAGGAAGTTGACCCTGGAAAAGAGGCGGGGCACTGATTAGCCACGCCCCCTTTCCCAACATTGGAAGGAAGTAATGGTTCCCATGAGTTACAAAATGGATACATTTTGTGTTTCTGTGTATCTTATTTGGGGAAAATATTGCAGTTTTGCTAAATCACCATGTAGCTTTTTTCTTCAAACAAGCAGCTTTATCTAATTCGTAGCAATATTGTTGCCAGTGGCACCCAAATAAACTTGATTCAATTTTCAAAGTTGTTAGAAGATGCAAGCTTGAAAACTGTGGATTCTCGATTTTTGTTTCTTAACACAGCAACCCACAAAATTCCTCCCAATCTTAGCATTGGGCTTGAATCAGGTTTGTGTAACTAAGCCCTACATTGAGCGCATGATGGTTAGTAAGTTTAGGCATCTAGACTTTTAACAGAAGGAAATTGCGCTAAAAATGTTCTGAATCCTGGACAAATGGAGATATAGATCTATATAAAGACTGAGTGTGACTCCACTGTTTTTTTTTTTTGTTTTGTTTTTTTTATTTATTTATTTTTTATATGCCGCCCTTCTCCGGAGACTCAGGGCGGCTTACAATGCGTTAAGCAATAGCCTTCATACTTTTGTATATTTTTATACAAAGTCAGCTTATTGCCCCCACAAACCGGGTCCTCATTTTACCCACCTTAGAAAGGATGGAAGGCTGAGTCGACCTTGAGCCTGGTGAGATTTGAACTCGCAGTAATTGCAGGCAGCTGGATGTTAAATGCTGCTTTAGTAGGAGGCATTAGCCTCCTACGCCACTCAGGCTCCTGTGGAATTAGGAGTCACACTGTGTGTGACTCCTAATTCCAGTTTCCAGCTTCTAGTTCTTGGAAGCAGTGCTCTTCAAAATAATAATAATAAAAAAATCTTCTTTTTAAAATTAAAAATCACAAAACTCGCTCATTCCTGACGCTGCTGATTAGCCAGTGATTAACTCATTTGTGTTTCGAAGTAAAATCAGTGCAAATGGCTTATGGTTTTCCAACAACATGCTTCCCAGTTACAATAACTAGTTTTATCTTTCAGGTAAAATAATAATAATAATTCCTTCAAACAGTTCCAGAAATCCCCAGGCCATTCAAACCAGGCCTCTTTTCTATTTTTTTTAAAAAAATAATCATGGTCAATTTTAAATTTAGCTGGTTAATATTTCTAAAAAATAAAATAAAATGCAGGGTGAATTAATTGTTTATCCATTGCAATGTTTAAGTTGCTTTTTACCTGCTGCTCTTCACTGTTATGTACATAGTGAGAAAATCCCTTGTTAAATCGATTTACTTTCACGTTTCTTGCCATTTTTCCATCTCAAATCTTTTTTTTTTTCCAAGGTGTGTTCAATTCATCCTTCCTTCACTTCTCTCTCTGATCATGTCTTAATGGTCAGTGGTTCTCAATCTGTGGTCCGTAGACTCCTGGGTGGGGGGAAGGGCAGGGGAGGCGCGATGTCATCCCACAGGGTCTGTGAAGTCTTGAAGACAATTTGTTGATTTCTGAACCCTTTGAAATTGCTTCTTAGTCACACAAATGGAGGGAAAATACTCCTTTGACTGCAAAAGGGTATGATTTGAAGGAGAATTTTATCCTGAGATAGCAATTTACTGTATAGCTGCACTAACGTGGTGTATTATATTATTATTATATATGTGTGTGTGAATATGTATGTATAATATTAATATATATATATGTGTGTGTGTCTGTGTGTAATAATAATATATATATATATAATTATTACACACAGACACACACATATATAGGAATAGATCTATACTAGTCTCCCTTTATTTCTTTATCAGCAAAATATAAATTATATATATTTATATATATATATATATCAGGATTCAGTGAAATTTGGGGATACAGTCATATTCATACACACACGCATACAGACAGACAGACAGACCCACTGTATCCCCAAATTTCATTAAACCCTGATCCTCAAACCGCACTATTCCATTTAGAGTTTTGCCTGCAACCCTGAGCTAACTAGATTGGCCATACTATAGCATTTAAATTGCAAATCAAGAGAACACAGCTAAACAGATTCCAATGAAATCTCCCTGCATGTAGAAAAGTAGCATATCTAGGAACCGTATGATGTTTGACTTAATGCCAGTTTAAACATACAATAACTCCTTGTCAGGCCAAGTCAGTGTTTATTACAGTCAAAAGACCGGAACAAATAATAATAAAAAAAACCCACTCAAGGACTATCCAGTTAAAAATTCTACAATAAAATAATACATAAAGCAAATAAGATGCACGTTAAAATCATAACTTGGCATCCAATCGGTCAGTTGCACATCAACAAAACACAACACTAAACTATAATATCATATCAATCCTTAAATTGCTGAAACACAACTAAGTGATAATGCCAAAAAGATTTGTTGCGTTAATCGTGCAAAATAGCTACGGTGGATTGTGTTTCAATTCCTTGCCAATTGTAAACGTGTTTGGAAATGGAGTAAAAACATTGCAAAGGAATAAATGAGCAATCACCAAAAATGAACACCTTGTCTTTCCGTTACAAAAATTAAAAATACATAAAATAATTTAATAAAACGAGCCAGCCACATATCTGCATTTAAAAGCATGGTTTTAGCGAACAGAATACAATTCCGATGGCTCAGATGTATTTTACTTTAAATAAATAAATAAATAACCTCTCTACAGCCATTCCCCTCTCCCAATCTGAAATACCCTTCAGATCCGTTGGACTTCATATCCCATAGCTCCACATTCCACGCTGGCAGGGGATCATGGGAGTTAAAGTCCATCTGGATGAAGCAAGTTTGCCCTGCAAGAAGCAACTCCTAAAAAGAACAAGATTATATATATATACATACATACATACATACATACATACATACATACATACATACATATATATATATATAGTCTCCCAATGGGCAGCAGAGTGTTTGCTGGCTGCCAGAAAAAAAGCCTAGAAACTAGTGGATTGGGATTTCACTGAACTAGGGCTGCATAAAAATCTTAGTTTACGTAGGAAGAACCTGGCTAAAGAGAAATATATACATACATACATACATAAATACATACATACATACATACATACATACATCTACCCCAGCATGTGGGAGGGAGCATATTGCATCCCTTTCGCCTTTCAGCTCCAATCCAGGAACCCTCAAGCAGTCGCATTCACGGCAAACCATATTATTATTATTATTATTATTATTATTATTATTATTATTATTATTATTATTATTATTATTTATTGGTTAATCTTTAGTGAGATTCACAGCCTTTGAGGCTGGTTAATAGCTCAGCAGCTCGAGTCCTAACCAAGGACCCGGGAACTGTTAAGGTATCGTCGGAGGATGTAAGCTGTTCCGAGTAAGGTGGTTTTTTGTAGAGTCAAAATGTTCAAGTAGTGTCAAATTATTATTATTATTATTATTATTATTATTATTATTATTATTATTATTATTATTATATTATTATTATTATTAAAATTTGTATACCGCCCTTCTCCTTTCGGACTCTGGGCGGTGAACAGCCAAAATAAAAACATTGGTACACAAAAGTTAAAATAACTATTAAAACTAATTAAATGAAATTTGGCCCACAATTTAAAATATATCAATTAAAATCAGTATCAAACGTTAAAACCAACATGGAATCAGGCCAAAAGAAAAAAAAAAAGAAAAAGAGCCAGAAATGCGGAGATCTTCACACAGCCTCGTGTGATGTCTCTAGTGGCCTCAAACTGTGCGTGCAAGACTGCACACCAGGTGATTTTTTGGAGAAAGGCACAGCTTCCTGGCACAACAGAGCTGGGAATCCTGGCCCATACTATAATAACAACACGAGATGGCAGGAGCCAGGCGCTCCAATACGTTTGCCAAAGGCATCCGTGGTTCTAATTGAGGCCCTCCGGGCGGCACTCTCACAACCCTTGCTATGTTTCCAGAGACCGGGATTCCCACACAAGGCACCCCTAAAGACAACACACATCCTTCCGTTTCTCCAAGCGGACGCACAAATTGTGCATCTTCTCTTTCCCAGGTTGGGCATGGAAGCTAGAGCGCAAGGTAAGGGGATCAACCACCAAGTGACCCTAAACGCCTGACCCCAGCAGAGAGCTAAGGTTTCTTTTTCCCCAGCTAGATTTCTCTCTTCGGGGAGGGGTGAAAACATCCCATCCCAATTGGACGGTCGACGTTTCTCCCCTTTTTGGGGGCACCTTTGGCTGGCCGTATAAAAAGAGAGTAGAATTTTGCAGCAGGGGAACGCAGCTGCGTGGGAATGCTCCCTTTTTTTTTCCCCCCTTCTTCGCACAGAAGGGACCATTTTACAGATGGGAAGACTGAGGTTTTGGGTTTTTTTTTTTTTTTTTAATTTGATTTATATGCCGCCCTTCTCCGGAGACTCAGGGCGGCTTACAATGTGCTCAGCAATAGCCTTCATCCTTTTGTGTATTTATACAAAGTCAGCTTATTGCCCCCACAATCCAGGTCCTCAATTTACCTACCTTAGAAAGGATGGAAGGCTGAGTCAACCTTGAGCCTTGGCGAGATTCGAACCTGCAGTAATTGCAGGCAGCTGGTCTTAATAACCAGCTTAATAACAGGGTGCCTTAGACCACTGTACTACCAAGGCTCTTTTTGCCCCTGGGGACATTTGGAAGACAATATATAGGATTTTAAAACTTCCAGAAATAACCTTTTCCTCTATTTTCTCTATTTTTTATTCTTTTGGGTGCAGAACTGCTTCACTTTTCTTTTCTTTTTTTTTTTTCAACCCTGGTCTCTCTCTGGTTGATGATACTTCATTGAACTTGGGTTTTTTTGTTTTTTAAATATATTGATTTTATTTCTTTGCTTGGAGATTTGGGGCCCGGGGATGCTTGGGGGGATGAAGTCCTTTGCGGAGTTGAGAAATTCAACTCTCAAAAGAGAGCTTGGAAAGGTAGTTATTTCCAAAGCTTGTTCATTTCCAAAGCTCGTTACGTCCATAAGAAATGGCAGAGCGTCTTTCATTCAGCAAACCCCCTTGACTTGCAATCAGGGGGGACTGAGGACTTGCTCCAGAGTAGACCAGTTGAGAATTAGCTTTTTTTTTTTTTTTGGAAGATGCACAAATGAGCCATCCCCCCCCCCAACTGGATTTGGGTCTCCTGGAAACAAAGCAGGGAGAAAAATAGGAAGGTAGCCTTGTGCAAAACTGCACCGGGAGAAAATCTGTAGAATAACAGGGATAATAACACTTCTGTATTTTAAAAAAACAGACATTTTTAAAAATTTTCTTCTTCTCTCCCTCTACACTCAGCCAACCTCTTAAGATTTCCTAATTCAATCTTGGCTTCCTTTCCCCAGACAGACAGACAGACACACACACACACCGAAGGAGGGTTTCCCCCACAGACAGACGGACAGCCCTGTTGCTATTGTTAAAGATATCTAGTCTAATGTGTGTGTGTGTTTGTGGGTAGGGGCAAGCTACAAAAGAAACTGACTGCCTTAAAAAAAGAGAGAGAGAGAGAGAGAGAGAGAGAGAGAAGAAGAGGGGGAAAAAAAATCCATGCTGTTAAATCTTAAAACGATCCAAAGAAAGGGAAGGCAGAATTGGAGGGGGTTTAAAAGGGGAGGGGAAGCCATAAAAGTGGTTTGAAGATAGAGAAATTCTGCAAACGGGGGGGGGGTTTTTGGGGGAGGAAAGAGGAGGGATGCATTTCCCTCCCTCCTTCCCATCCTCTGTCGTGGCCGCTGATAAGAGTATTTGCAACCACGTGGTGGCTACAAATCTCTGCTTTAGATTTTTTTTTTTTCCTTCCATCACTGATATTACATCATGGGGAGAGAAAAAAAAAAAAGAGAGAGAGAAGAGAGAGAGAGAGAGAGGGATGAGAAGCAGGCAAGGCACCTCGTCACCTCTCTTCCCCTACCTGGAATTGAGCAGTATCAACTTTGGCTCATAGTAAAAATCCCTTCCCTGCCCCCTACTCTCTGTGCTTTGCAATCTAAACTCCCCTTTTTAACCACTGAAAAGCACTCCGAAGGGATTAGAAGAGGGATAAAATTAAAGATAAAATAAAGGTATTTTCTTCTCTTGCAAAGAAGAAAGAAAGAAAGGGGAGACACGAAAGAGGAGGTCTGAATAATAATAATAATAATAATAATAATAATAATAAGAAGAAGAAGAAGAAGAAGAAGAAGAAGAAGAAGAGAAGGAGGAGGAGGAAGAGGAGGAGAAGGAAGAAGAAGAAGAAGAAGAAGAGGAAGAAGAAAAGAAGAAGAAGAAGAAGAAGAAGAAGAAGAAGAAGAAGAAGATGGTACTTGGTTGATACCTAGGACGCTGGCAGCAACCCGTATCAACCATTAGCACCAGTCAATGGTATTTCTGATGCATTTTGGAATGTTCAGTTGACTAAGTTTCATATTTAATGAATAAAGATAATAATAATAATAATAATAATAATAATAATAATAATAATAATAATAATAATAATAATAGTAATCACCACCACCTGGAGCTGAAAAAGGCTGCACTACTTGGAACATCTTACATTTTTAGAAGATACTTGGTTGATACCCAAGAGGCTGGGAACAACCCGTGTCAACCATCAATGATATTTATAACACATTTTTAAATGCTCAGTTAACTGAGTTTCATCTTTAATGAATAAAAGAGATAATAATAATTCAGGTCTTAAATCTATCTATCTATCTATCTATCTATCTATCTATCTATCTATCTATCTATCTATCTAGCAAAAGGTTTCCTTCCCTTTCCTTATTTTTCCCTCCTTCTTAACCTGAAGCTTAAAAATATATAATATCTCATATACACTTAAATCAGGGCATTTTGCAAAAATTATTCCAGGCAAGAACTTCTCCCGGGAAGCCCCGATGGTTAAAACGTTTCCAAATCGATTCTTGCAAAGGAATTTCTTATCAAAAAGCACGACTCCCTTTCTTTAAAAATACGATTCCATCCCAAACAGGAGAATGGACCCAGTGGCTTCAACCAAACAAACCAACGAAAAATAAATAAAGCCCCTTAAAAAAAATTTTTTTTTCTTCCGTTAAACAACGACGACGCAGGTTAAACAATTCAAGTGGGAATTAAGCTGATAAAAGCACAACACACAAAGGTCAATTAATACGATGTAAAATATGCACCGATAAGACAAGAGTTTAGAAATGGAAAATAAACCTTTAGACATCATCATCCTTTCTGAAGCAAAATAGCTTGCAATAAATGACAATAGTAATTCGACCCTTGACAAACGCTTTTAAAAAAAAGAAAAAGGGAGAATTTGCTGCTGTTGTTTTTATCTTTTTTAGGATTAAAGCAGAAATCTCAAGTTTTAAGATATTTTCCTTCTAGAGAAGACACAAGAGATGAACACACAACCCCCCCAAAATGTAAATAAACAGAGGCGGGAATTACCTGGCTATCCACTGTAGATGGAGGAAATCCGTTTTTTTGTTTTGTTTTTTTGAATATGCAGGCGACACGGATGATTTTGAAGGCTTAGCCACCGATGTCCAGACACAATTCTTGGTTTGTATGTTTTTCTGGACAAGAATTGCGTTTGGACAATCAGGAGCAAAGGTTCCAGCTTTTGGGCTCGACGAGGCTATGCAAAAAAAAAAAAGAGAGAGAGAGAGAAAGAGAGAGAAAGACACAGAATTTTTTAAAAAATTAAAATTAAAAAGCTCTTCACTCAGGCGCCTCTTCAAACTATTCAGCAGCAACTTCTCCTGCCTTTTATTTCTCTTGATTGTGTCCATCACCCTGTTTCATTTCCCCCCCCCAATGCCCGAAAAATAAGAAAAGAAAATTCTTTAAAAAAAAAAAAACGAATTAAATTAATCAGAATGCTCAAAAAAAAAAAAAAAAAACACCACATTTTTAAAATCTGGCCTTCGTTGCCCACACAGTTTTTTTTCCTTTCCCCCCCTCTCCCCCAAATTGCTGAAGACAGGAAAAGAAATTATCGGGGTGTGTTTTAATTTCTAACGGAGAGGCGACCTTAAGATGAAAAGGCCTTTTGCATTTGTAACGGGAGGGAGAGGGAAAAAGGGGCTTCGCCATCACTATTTGGGGGGTGGGGGCAGAGCTTTCACCATCACCATCACAATCCTTCCAACAAGGATTTGCCACTTTTTCGTTGGAGAGAAATAAAAATTTAAAAAAAAAACCTGAAAACCACTTTGGCTTTTGAGGAGGAGATTGGGTTCTGGAGGTGGGGGGGGGATCTTCTTAATTATTCCAATTCTGAGGCCATGCTCCCCCATGACTGCAAAAGAAAAAAAAAGAGGGTACTGGAAGGGAAGGTGCGATTAAACGTTTTGAAAGGAATCGCTCTGTTTTTTTGGGAAAGATGGACCCATCTCCAAAGGCCAACTGAGAATTTTTTTTTTCCATTTCCTAGATTGCTTTTCTCCAAATTCGCTCTCTCTGGAAAGCAAGAGCGAGAGAAGCTCCCTTCCTTCCTTCTTTCCTTCCTTCCTTCCTTCCCTCCCTCCCTAATTCACACACCCAGGATATTTTTCCTTTCCTTCCTCTCATTTCCAATTCCTTCCTTCCTTCCCTCCTTCCTTCCCTAATTCACACCCAAGATATTTTTTCTTTCCTTCCTCTCATTTCCAATTAATTCCTTCCTTCCTTCCCTAATTCACACCCAAAATATTTTCCTTTCCTTCTTCTCATTTCCAATTCCTTCCTTCCTTCCTTCCTTTTCCTTCCCTAATTCACACCCAGGATATTTTTTCTTTCCTTCCTCTCATTTCCAATTAATTCCTTCCTTCCTTCCCTAATTCACACCCAAAATATTTTCCTTTCCTTCTTCTCATTTCCAACTCCTTCTTCCTTCCTTCCTTCCTTCCTTCCTTCCTTCCTTCTTCCTTCCTTCCTTCCCTAATTCACACCCAAAATATTTTTCCTTTCCTTCCTCTCATTTCCAATTCCTTCCTTCCTTCCTTCCTTCCTAATTCACACCCAGGATATTTTTCCTTTCCTTCTTCTCATTTCCAATTAATTCCTTCCTTCCTTCCTTCCTTCCTTCCTTCCTTCCTTCCTTCCTTCCTTCCTTCCTTCCTTCCCTAATTCACACCCAAGATATTTTTCCTTCCCTTTTTCCTTCCCTTCCCTTCCCTTCCTTCCATCTATCCATCCATCCCTTCATTCACACCTTCCTTCTTTCCCTTTGGCCTGAGGGGCCCCGCTAGGCAAATTTTGACCGAGAATCTCACCCTCTCCCTAAAACCTGAAAACTTTTCTTTCCCCAACACTCACAATCAAAAAATCCACTTTGCTTGTTGACCTGTCCCTCGCCATCTCTTAGGAGAAGGATCCCAAACAGGATCGCAACACGCCTTCCCAGCGATCCTTCCTTATCGGGGATTTTTTTTGTTTGTTTTCCAAACCCCACTTTCCTCCCTTCTGCCAGTCTTCTCATTTTTTATTTTATTTTAATTTTTTTTGCAAAAAATGGAAGCTCCTTGGGTAACTTAAGATCCCCCTCCCCACCCCAAAATCTTATTACAGGGAGGGGAAAAAAATCCCTATGAAAAAGAAGCATCAATCCAGAGATCAGTAAACAAGAAAGCCATTTGATTCTGCTTTAAAAGAAGTGGTTTCGGGCGATCTTTTTGGATGCAGGCGAAGGAAGCCTGCTCAGAAAACTGGGAGCTACGTGTATATCTGTGTGTATGCACGCATGCTTTACACACCGGTCTTCCCGTCCCCACCTGCGCGCCCAGACACGTGAAATCCCCTTTCTCGTTTTGGGAAAGTCGGATTATCCAGAGGGAAAAAAACGGAAAAGGGACGCAGGCAAAAGCCAAGAAGGAAGGAATTATTATTATAATTTTTTTTTTGAGTTGGGGGTTGTAAAAAATCCCAAATTAAGGGGCTCCCCCCCTCAATTCAGCCCCAGAAAAGAGGGACAAATATCAAATCTGCACTCTGTTAGTTGGCAAAGCTTGGTTGGCCTGGCTCCAAAGAGAGGGAGGGAGGGAGCCAGCCCTCCCTTCCTTCCCCCCCTCCCCAAATTTAACGCCCCTCCCAGCCTCGAATTCCCTGGCCAGCTGGACTTGGAATGGGTCAGTTGGAGGGCTTCGAAAGGAAGCCGTGCAGAGGGACAGGCTAACTAAAATATTGAAGGAGAAGCAATAAAAAGAATAGCAATAATTAATAATAATAATAATAATAATAATAATAATAATAATAATAATAATAA